ATTTTAGTAGAGACTGGGTTTTGCCTTGTTGGCCAGGCTGGTCTCAAACTCCTGACCTCAGGTAATCGGCCCACCTCCCAAAGTGCTGGGATTATAGGCATGAGCTACCATGCCCTGGCCTCTCATCTTCATTTTCTTAAGCAAAACAATAAAACCTAGTCCCCAGATTTTAAAGGTTAGCTTAAAGAACCTGTCTCTTGGCCGGGCGTGGTGGCTCACGCTTGTAATCCAAGCACTTTGGAGGCCAAGGCGGGTGGATCACCTGAGGTTTGGAGTTCAAGACCAGCCTGACCAACATGGTGAAACCCCGTCTTTAAAAAAGGAAAAAAAAAACCTGTCTCTCATTTTAGGAATGTGTGGGTTGTTCAGAGTCTGGTGGGTGACCTGTATATGTGTGGTTTTTATTTTGTTTTTTTTCAGCTGCTCGTGGAGCCCCACCTCTGCCACCCATTCTCAGGTGAAGCCTGGCTTGGTTCTGTTCCTCAGGAAAAGGATGGACCTTCTCTTTTTCTCAGATGGTCCCTTCCATTCCCCTGAAACCTGCATGAGAGCTTCTAACATGTTTCTCCAGTGCAACCAACCCCTAGACTCCAAGTGTCCTCCCAGCTCACCTCCATCTATGCATCTCGTCTCTGGATTTGGTGATCGAACTCTTTATATTGACAATAGGATCTCAAACCCTGCATCCATCCTTCCTCCAGCTAGCCCTGCTAGCCACGAGGAGCAAGTTTCCATGTCTCCTGCTTTTCTCTTGGGGAAAGGTGCCTTGTTGTGACAAATTAACTCATTGGGGCAGGGTGGAAAATGGTACCCCTTCCTTCTCCTGTCCACTGTGGGGGACGCTTGGTCGGTATATTATATTTCATCATTTAGGAGGCTGGCATGACCAGGACTTATGGGTGGGAGGGGAGCATTTTTAGCGAAGCAAGAAAGGAGTTTGCCGAGAAGTGATCTGTTTTAAAGGTCAAATTTGGAGAAAGGGCAAGGAAATGGGTCTGCTTTATTTTTAGAAGTATTTTGTTTTTGTTTTCACCTGTCGTCCCCACCCCCCGCCCCCCACAGGGATAAGTTGGGTATAAACACTAAATACTAATCAGTCAAACTTAACATTTAATAAAAAGAGAGGGTGAAATAAACTGAGGACCATTTTAGAACTAGTCACTTCTCTGCAGCAAAGGGACCAGGAGCCATTTGAACCCTCTGGGACCCTGCTGCCCCACTGCCTCAGGATGCTTGGCTGAGGGATGTTTTTCCTCCCGCTTACCACCCATGCCCTGGAAAGAAAAGTCACATTTTGTGGAGGGCATCATTCATTCCTGATTCACAAACCCCAAAAACCTCTGATGGGAGATAGGAAGATAGGGCGTGAGCCTGGCTTTACCTCAGTCTTGAGTCTGCTTCAGTCTTTTGTCTGGCCCTAAAGTGGTTGGTGGCCCTTTCTGTCCTTTAGCCCCTGGAAGGTGCTCCAGGATAACACATAAGGGCAGTTAGAAGCCCCTCATGGAAGGAGCTGGCTTTGTGGGGATGCAAAGGACTTCAAGTCCTGCCTGTACTGTTCACAGCCCACCTGAATGAGCAGACTCTTCCTGTTCCTTTCTCTACCACCCTTGCCTTCCCAGGAATGCACAGTTTAACACAGCAGAGTACAGAAGGGTGAGGAAGTAAGCAGAGGCGTTTGAGGATATTCAGGTATTCCTCTATGCCAGGAAGCACAGACTTCGTTGATGTTTGCCTCAGTACAGTAGATCTTCCCTGGCAGCCAGCCATAGGTTGTTTCTTTGTCTTCCAGGTCCTAGTTAAAGAGCACAGAGAAAGTGGAAGTCCCCAGTCTAGGTAGGAATTAGACTACCTAGACTAATTGGATGATTGGACGAGGACTTCTTTGTATCCAACAACAGGATAGGGCTCCTGGGCTCAAAACACCAGATGCTTTGGTTTGCTAGAACTGTTGCTACATGTAAGGCTGCTTAGAGTGTGGCATGCAAACAAGGAGATCATGGCTACTCTTTGAAATGGATGGGGAAAATTAACTTAAAAATTTAATCACACACATCACAGGCTTAAACTGTCTTAGGGACCTTTCCAGTTGACCAGATCACAGGCTAGGGATCTGTGCATGGTGCCAGGTGGAATCTAAGTCTTCCCAGCGCTAGGTGAGGGAGGGCTCAACGGGGGTATTGTGTATGGGGTCTGCTGTCCTTTACCATCCCCTGGACCACATTAACTCTGGGACAGACCATGTTTATGTCTGTCATCAGACTTTTCCTAATCATTCTTTATGTGTCATTCTTCTTTCTAATCTGTTAGCAATCATCTCCCAGAAGTATCCCTAGCATCCTGAAGTAAACAGAACTGCCAGGTATGGTGGCTCATGCCTGTAATCTCAGCACTTTGGAAGGCCAAGGTGGGCAGATCACTTGAGGTTAGAAGTTCAAGCAAGATCAACCTGTCCAACATGGCGAAACCTCGTCTCTACTAAAAATACAAAAATTAGCTGGGTGTGGTGGCATGCACCTGTAGTCCCAGCTACTGGGGAGGCTGAGGCATGAGAATCGCTTGAACCTAGGTGGCGGAGGTTACAGTGAGTGGAGATGGCGCCACTGCATTCCAGCCTGGGTGACAGAGTGAAACTCCATCTCAAAAAACAAAATTTAAAAACCCTAACAGAACTGAGAGAGGGGATGCTAGTAGAGGGAAAAGAGAGTACACGAGTTGATACTGCACAGAGTTCCAGGGCAGAAACTGACAAGTGACTGAACTTTGACTGTGAAGTCTTCCCATTTATTTTTTAAATGGGAGTCAATGCCTTTTGTACAATATTATCAGAGTGTGTCTTTTTTTTTCCTCCTTTTACTCAGACATAGAGCATCACAATATCATAAGTAAAGCCAAACCCCAGCTTTTCACTGGGGCTGATATCATCCTCCCCATGACCTGCTGCCCCTCATATTCCCCAGTACTTGGACTGTCACATGGGTATTGATGGTATACTTGTCTTGGCCTCATGCAAAAAGGCCTGGGTCTAGATCTAGTCAGATGGATTTTCTTTTTCAGAGCATGTTGATGAGACAACACCTGTTTAAATGTTTTTGCCTTATACATTATTTGGTCCCACTGTTAATAATAGATTTATTACCATGTATATTTACTATTGAAGATGGGAATGTGATCTGCATAGATATCGGTCTATTTTGTATGTTGTAAAAAGCTTCTAGGTTTAAGGTGGGCTGGCTACAAGAGCACTAAAACTCCTCACCAGTTAAACTGCTCTTTTTATCTGCTAGTGGGAATGTTGTCTCTTCTGTGGAAGATTGGGTGGTCTCATGTTGAGGCTGTTGCCCAGTCCAATTAACTCCCTTGTCCCCTTCCAGAAGGAAGAGACATTGCCCAACTAAGCACTAGGAAGCTGTGTTAAAAGCCCGTGTATGGGTTTGGTTTAGTGATGTTTTTCCCTAATGGGTAAAACTTTATAGTTGTTTCTTACTGCCCTGACTGGGAAGCTGGGCGGTGGCCTCCAGGTTTTTAAATGAGCTAGATGCCTCTCTTCCCCTTCTCTGGTCACCGAACCTGGACCAAAGCACTTTGATATTCCAGGTGATTTTCTCTGTCGTGGGGATTTGCTCCAGCTGCAGAGCCCCATCATTTTCACAGCGTAGGCTACCCTGTTTGATGGATGAGAGTGAGAACCTAGGGCTACCCTGTTTGATGGATGTGCAGCTGCTGTCTCCAGGAGCTCATCCCAGCCCTCCTAGCTGGCAGCGGCAAGGAGACTCGTCACCAGCCATTGCACTGGGGAACTCCCTCACCGCATGGCTTCCCAACTTAAAACCCAGATTTACCTCCAGGGAGAGGTGAGAAGAAAATTGTAAATAGACTTGCTACAGAGCAACTCAGGGTTGGGGTGTGTTTTAATTCTCCTGATCACTTGAAATAATCTGTAGGCCAAGTGCTTATGGGAGTGGGGGAGAAGTGCAACTCCAGGGTCCTTCCCTTCTGTGAAGCTCTGGGGGTGGAGTGTGGGCATCTGAGGCCCTATGATGGCACTACACTGAGCTGTCTGTCCTTCCGGAAACCCAACCTGAAATCAACTGCGAATCAAATTCTTCACATTCCAGTTACAGTCTTTCTTCCCCATTGAATCTCAGTCCCTGCTGGCCCTGTGGTCTAGGTGGCTTTCTGTTAAGCTACCCGAATTTAGGGAATGGGAGGGGAGGAAGGAGGGCCATTACAACTCTGCCTTCAAGACTCATCTCTTAAAACGAAACGAAACTACAACCACCATCAAAACCACACGCAAGAAAAAAAAAAAGGATAACTTTAACCGAAGGAAGGGTTTAGTTCCATTCAACTCCACATTCATTGTGCCTTTACTTGTATTAGATTTCTGTGCTTTCTTCCTCTCCCTCTTTGAAGCAATTAAACTCGTCCTTGACAATTGCTGTTTCTTTCTACTCTTGTGTCTGGCAACTTAGTGGGTTCCTTCTCTAATTGTCTTAAATTTTATTCCACTGGTGGCAAGTGGGGCCTAGCCGCCTTTTCTCATGTCTAATCTTTGTCCTTTCTCATGGTGCCCTGCATGGAAGTCACAGTCAACACTGAATAAATGACTAGAATGACACATGTGCGTGTGTATGTGTGTATGTGTGTGTTCATCTGTCTGCATGTGGAGGATCTATTTCTTTTAAAAGATAATTTATTGTATGATTTATTTTGGAGTTATATTCTGATTACAGTGCTCCCTCTCCCAAATAGCATTGATTTTTTTCCCCCTCTAAAATGTATAAAATCTGGTCTCAGGTTGGATTCTTTAGTACATTTCTTTCTTCTGGATGCCGTGCAGTTTAATTAAACCTTGCTTAAAAACAAAAAGTGAAAATCGTGTACTCTTGTCTGGGATGCTGCCTCAAGTGGTGGCACAGAGAGGGGAGAAAACCTTTGCTTCATAATTTGGGTAAATGCAGTCGTTTGATTCCAGGTCTCTTAAAAAAATAGATCTGCTGACTTGGGCAGACTCATCTACAGCTTCCTCAGGGTCTTCTCTCCTCCCCTCCTGCTGTATTTTGAAAATTACAGTTCTAGTTGGCCATGCTTGATGGCTGACCACTGTAATCCCAGCACTTTGGGAGGCCAAGGCAGGTGGATCACTTGGGGTCAGGAGTTTAAGACGAGCCTGGCAAACATGGCGAATCTGCATCTCTACTAAAAATACAAAATTAGCCGGTGTTGTGCTACTCAGGAAGCTGAGGTAGTGGAATCGCTTTGTGATATAGCTGGCCTAGAGTTAGAACCTGAACAATGACATTTTATAAAAGACAAAACTTTTTAAAATAAGTTGTGAAGGTTGCTCCATTCTCACAGTGACTGCTAACCTTGGCTTCTGTGAAACTGCTAGTTTACCTTGCAGAATGCAAAGAGGTAAAGCTGCTCACCTTCTCTTATCAGTAACTGCCAGAATTGCTGGCCTTTGTTTACCGGAATAAGCAGCCCAGGATAATTCCATCCTGGCTCCTACAACTCCTAATAAGTAACTAGAAAATCTGTGGACCCCACCCCTACTCAGACAATGTGTAAACCAATGCTAACCTTAGCTTTTATGAACCACTTAAGTAACAATCAGAATGTCAAATAGTCCCCTGGCCCTCGGAATGTCCGGAAACCTCTCACCCGCCCCTCATCCTCATCTCCGTCCAGACGGTGATTTGCAGAATCCACTAGCCCTCAGAATGTCCGGAAAACCCCTCACCCCCATCCCCACCCCTCACCCTCACTCCCAAGGTAATATTTACGGGTATAAAAGGTCTTTTACGGGGCCCCGGGTTGGAGAGACGTGAGTCCTCCATGGTCGCCAGCAACAAACTCTGCAATTTGGCATACTTTTGTCTTGGTGTTGACTTTCTATGCTCGGTCCAGTATAACGGCTTGAACCCAGGAGGTGGAGGTTGCAGTGAGCTGAGATCATGCCACTGCACTCCAGAAAAAGAAAATATAGTCCTAGTTACTTTTGCTGACCAGGAGATTCTGATGGTCCTTATTTTATTATTTTATTTTATTAGAGACAGGATCTTGTTCTGTTGCTCAGGCGGGAGTACAGTGGTGTGATCACAGCTCACTGCAGTCTCCAACTCCCAAGCTCAAGTGATCCTCCCACCTGTCTCCCACGTAGCTGGGACCACAGGTATGTACCACTATGCCCGGCTAATTTTGAAAATTTTTTTGTAAAGATGGGGTCTCCCTATGTTGCTGAGACTGGTCTCACACTCCTGGGCTCAAGTGATTGTCCCACCTTGGCTTCTCAAAGTACTGGGATTACAGGCATGTGCTATTGCATGTGGCCAATCCTTATTTTCCACTTAACTCCCCTTTGCCCATGATTTCAGAGAACCAAGGAGGCTTCCTGGCCTTGTGACCTTTTCCCTGAATCTCTTACAATTCTTTCTACCTGTGTTGCATGACAGATTCTCAAATTGAGTAAAGGAAGGAAGGGTGAGGACTAAACATACAAAATGTATGTACTGGTTTTTATGTGGGTGTTGACTGTTTTTCCTTATTGCTTTTTAAGCTGAATCTTGGCTGGTTTTCTTGAACTTTGACTTGAGGTATAAAAATTCAACCAGACATTCTCTCCTTACTGTGGTCAGCTGACATCATAACCACTAAGTCTTAATGAGCTTAACTTGCACTTTCATCACTAGCAAAGGTCTTGAAATTATTTCTCTTACTGATTCATAATGAGTGTGTGTATGAATCACTCTCACATAATTTAGATATAAAAACCTATGAGGACGGGGGAGGGGGGGAGAATAAAGGACTCCTTTCATTTTTATCCATACTTCCCAGATCGGCTGAATCTCTGATTATTTGACCCATCATTGTTATTAATATGATTAACAAACTACCTATTTATTGATTGAATTGTTCCTCCTGACTTGAAATAGCCTGCAAATGGAGCTTGCCTAAATGACCATCAACTTCCTAACCCTATAATTCATTCTGTCTTACTGGGATGGTATTGCTAGAGTGTGTGTGTGTCTACGCACACACACACTCACACAAAAGGATGCCAGACAGGTTCTTCCAGTGTGATTTGATTCCTTCTCCATGATACTGCGTATGAGTTAGCAGTATCATACTAGTTTCCTCCCTCCATTACCAAGGCAGAGCTGCTTCCTATGAATGTGCCTCTTAAGTATTTCCCAACCCAATCTAACCATGAACTGAGCACCTCACTGGAAGGAAGCTGCCTGTCTCCATCTTCCTAGTACTCTGCAGAGGGAGGTAAAGGAACTGAAAATGAACTAGAACTAGAAATATGTCAACCTCAGGATTCTGACTGCCTCAGAGGATAACTGGGGAAATGCTTTGCCTCTGACATCACTGGAGCCCAGTCTGGATCATTTTCACACATAATTGAATTCATTCTTCACTCCTAGGCTTAGGGGTGTGAGACTTAAAGGACTATATGCTCTCTAGCCACAAGTGTTTATGCAAAGGGTGGATGTCCACTTGGCAAGAATGTCCTTTCCATTCCTTCACTTAGCAAGCACTTATTGGACACTTTACTCTCTACCAGGCACCTACAATATGAAAAGTTTTTTTTGCCAGGCACAGTGGCTCATGCCTATAATCCCAGCACTTTGGGAGGCTGAGGCAGATGGATCACCTGAGGTTAGGAGTTTGAGACCAGTCTGACCAATATGGTGAAACCCCATCTCTACTAAAAATATGAAAATTAGACATGGTGGTAGGTGTCTGTAATCCCAGCTACTCAGGAGGCTAAGGCAGGAGGGTTGCTTGAATCTGGAAGGTAGAGGTTGCAGTGGCCTGAGACTGTCGCCACTGCACTGCAGCCTGGGCGACAGAGCAAGACTCCATATAAATTTTTTTTTTTCCTTTTGGAGATGGGGTCTTGCTATGTTGTCCAAGGCTGGCCTCAAACTGGGTTCGAGGGATCCTTCCACCTCAGCCTCCTGAGTAACTGGAATTACAGATGCATGTCACTGCGCATGGTTAAGACATGGTCTTTGATTCTAAGGAACTCATAGTTTAGTAGACTTCAGGACAGCTACCAGGAGAAACCTATACAGGGTATTAACAGGCTTTATAGAAGTTAGCAGGGAAGACGGATGGGGAGTGGCATTCCAGACAGAGGAAACAGCAAAAACAAAGGCGTAGAAGCAAGAAACAATATGTGTATGTATCATGTTACTGGAGGATCATTATTAGTGCAAAGGAAAAGCTTCAAGTAGATAACCTTTCAGTCCTGACATTCTATGATTATTTGCCTGCTTCCACAGTGGTCATTTACTTCTGTGGGCTTTTCTTGGGCTACTGCTATATTTCTTGGTGTTTTCATAGGCTCCAATATGCATGCTAAGTACTCATAGCTTCCTCTGCTGTCTCCTTGTAACTGAGGTAGGTTGTTTACTATAACCATTCCTTAAAGCTGGCTGGACATACTTTATCATTTCAGGTTATTAAGGGCAATTCTTAGATGCTCATGTTATAAAAATATGAACAGTGAAGGCTGCTTCCTGAGTTCTGTCCTATTAAGAGATCAGAAATACCATCTAGTCTTAAAAGCTTCCATTTTGGGGCCGGGCGCGGTGGCTCCCACCTATAATTCCAGCACTCTGGGAGGTTGAGGCGGGTGGATCACAAGGTCAAGAGATCGAGACCATCCTGGTCAACAAGGTGAAACACCGTCTCTACTAAAAATACAAAAATTAGCCAGGCATCGTGGTCCGTGCCTGTAGTCCCAGCTACTTGGGAGGCTGAGGCAGGAGAATTGCTTGAACCCAGAAGGTGGAGGTTGCGGTGAGCCGGGATCGTGCCATTGCACTCCAGTCTGGGTAACGAGCGAATCTCTGTCTCAAAAAAAAAAAAAAGAGATAAAAGCTTCCATTTTGGCCAGGCACGGTGGCTCATGCCTGTAATCCCAGCACTGTGGGAGGCTGGGGATGGGGCAGATCATGAGGTCAGGAGTTCGAGACTAGACTAGCCAACATGGTGAAACCCTGTCTCTACTAAAAATACAAAAATTAGCCAGGTGTGGTGGCACATGCCTGTAGTCCCAGCTACTCAGGAGGTTGAGGCAGGAGAATGGTTTGAATTTGGGAGGTGGAGGTTGCAGTGGGCTGAGATTGTGCCACTGCACTCCAGCCTGGGTGACAGAGCAAGACTCCATCTCAAGAACAAAAAAAAAAGGGGGGTGGGGCGGGGCTTCCATTATAACTCTCCATTCATGGAAGCCCATTCTCCACTTTTGGAGTTTTCAGCTGCTAAAAAGCCTTCACAAAATATACGCCACCATCTCTTCCTGTTTAGAGCCCTTTATCTAATCATCCCGCTATGTTAAAGGGCCAAGAGTTTGATTTTCTGTCAGAGTTCAGAGTTCAAATTCTAGCTCTTCCACTTACTAGTTGTGTGACCTTGGGCAAGGTCTCCTCCACTGTGGTTCCTTCATTTATAAAATGAAATAACACCAATTTCGGCCGGGCACGGTGGCTCATGCCTGTAATCCCAGCACTTTGGGAGGCCAAGGCGGGTGGATCACGAGGTCAGGAGTTCAAGACCAGCCTGGTCAAGACGGTGAAACGTCGTCTCTACTAAAAATACAAAAAGAATTAGCCAGGCATGGTGGTGTGCGCCTGTAATCCCAGCTACTTGGGGGGCTGAGGCAGAAAATCGCTTAAACCCAGGAGGCGGAGGTTGTAGTGAGCAGAGATCAAGCTCTTTCACTCCAGCTTGGGTGACAGAGCGAGAGTCTCTCTCTCTCTCTCTCTCTCTCTCTCTCTCACACACACACACACACAAAATAACACCAGCTCAACTTCGTGGGGGTGCTTGTGAAAATTACGAAGACGATGTAGGTAAAATACTGAGCACATTCTCTGGCATACACTTAAAGCCCTCAATATTGGCTCTCTTCATGAACTAGGTACCAATTAACTGATGATCGTAATATTGTTGCTTTCCTCTTTCTAGGCTTTATGGCTCTGTTTTATTTGTTACTGAGGGGTAAAAGATAAATGTTTACCATGACCTAGAATTGGGTTTTGGCCTTTAAAGGAACCTGAGGGTTAGATGAGTTATTGGCTTTGGAAGCTGGCCTCCAAATTAATGCTCTAATTTATATTTTTCATTAAAAACTCAGCTTGCCTCTTCTATATAGCTGCTTTCCCTGGCTCTGAAACCCTAGTGTTTCGCCATAAAAGATTTTAAAATTAAGGGGTCATAATTCTCTCCCCACGAGGTGTGGATTAATGGTAAGAAGGTGCATATAATATAATCTAACTTTGAACGAAATAAAAGCAAAGAGTTGGCTCTGTTTCTCACCTTTGAAGTACAAATCAAGAGATACTATGATGAAGCATAGTTTTTCTTTATATAGCTGTGTAGAACTTTACCAAAAAAAACACTAGTTCAGGCATCAGAAGATCTGGATCCTAGGCTTTTCACTGTCACCAAGATGCTGTGACCTCTAACCTTGTATGGAGGTTTGCTGTGTGCCTTCCGGGGTTGGGGTTCATACCTGGCGCACAGAAGCGCTCCCCAAACGGTAGGTATCATGTACTAGTACTGAAAATCTAGTCCATCAGGACGATGCAAATGGGTATGTTCGGCAGTGAGAAGGGGGAACCACATCTTGACACCCAGTCGAAGGAAGAGCGCGGAAGTAGGGTCGCGCGGCAGTAAAGACTACGCCTCCCGCCGTGCTTTGCGGCCGGGCCGTCCCGCCTTACCCAGAGTCGCCCTGCAGCAATCGCGCGTCTTTCCACTGAGGCCCCGGATGTAGATTCTCTTTCCCGTCTACGCCGCTCAGTGGGCGTGGCCTCGCTGTGACTCAAAGACTTGGGGCTCTCTCATTGGCTGTAACTCTTCCGCAGGATTGGAAGCAAAAAAGAGGCGGTACCCAAGGCGAACAGCGCTCTGACCACAGCCAATCAGAATCGAGACCGGGCTTTGGCGGGAGGCTGGAACGCTGTGGTAATTTAGATTTGGCGCGAGCGCGGCTGGGTTTTGCTGCTGCTGGTGTGCAGTTTGTTCGGGGCTTTTGGTGGTGAGTCCCTGAGGCTGCGTGTGAGAGACCTGAGAAGGAGCCTGCACTGAGGAGGTGGAAAGGAGAGGATTGCTCTAGGAGGCCTGCGATCTGTGAGGCAGCGGCGTTGGGTGAAGGCTGCGGGTTCCGGCGAGGCCGGAGGTGAAGTGAGGGGAAGAGAGCTGAGCTCGCTGGAGGTCTGAGGTCGGGAATCAGGGAAAGGGCAGGCGCCCTCGGGGTAGTTCCAGCTGTGAAGGAGCTGAAAGCTGTAGGAAGGAAATGTTCTGGGGTGCCTTGAGAGCCGCTTAGAATGAGGCCTGTGTGCAGGGGCGGAGAGACTGAGAGAAGACGGACCTGCAGTGTGAGGGCTTGGGAGAGAAGAGAAATGTGGCGGCTGGTGGGCTGAGCTGGTGATAAAACACCCCTCATGCCTGGAGGAGGGCAATTAGAAGTTCTATACAAATCAGTTCAAGTAACTTTTTTTTTTTTTGAGATGGAGTCTCTCTTGTTACCCAGGCTGGAGTGCAATGGCGCGATATCGGCTCACTGCAAACTCCACCTCCCCAGTTCAAGTGATTCCCCTGCCTCAGCCTCCCGAGTAGCTGGGATTACAGGCACCCGCCACCAGACCCAGCTACTTTTTGTATTATTTTAGTACAGACAGGGTTTCACCATATTGGCCAGGCTGGTCTCGAACTCCTGACCTCGTGACCCGCCCGCCTTGGCCTCCGAAAGTACGGATCACAGGCGTGAGCCATGGGGCCCGGCCCATTTCAAGTAACTTCTTATTGCATTTATCAATTGGTTAAAAACTTGGACTCTGGTGCCAGCCTGGGGTTACATTCCTGTTTTTCTGTGACTTTGGGCCACTGTTTATCTCAGTTTTCGCATCCGTAAAATAAAGGCTAATACTAGTACCTACCTCTAAGGCAGTTGTAAAACAAAACGAGTTGGCACATAAAGTGCTTATAACGGTGGCTTCCACGTAGTAGGTAGACAACAAATGTCAGCTGTTCTTGCATAGATTTGGATGTGAATTAGAACTGAATGCTAAAATATTGTGGTAACATAATTTACTTAAGAAATAAGTGTTAATCATCAGTATAAATAAATTCTATGTTAGTTATTTTCCCTTCACTTTTACCTATTGATTTGTCCTGTTATTTTTTGTATCTAGTTGTGCTGCTGTCATGCCTCAAACCCGATCCCAGGCACAGGCTACAATCAGTTTTCCAAAAAAGAAGCTGTCTCAGGCATTGAACAAAACTAAAAACTCTAGTGATGCCAAACTAGAACTGACAAATGCCCAAATTGTACCCTGTTCTCATGTAAAAGTCCTGCCTCTCAGCCCCAGGAAACGTCTGGGTAAGCCATTTGTTATATCACTTTTTGACCTTTCTTTTCTCAATAAGATGTGTGTCCTTTGAAGGAGCTTTCTAAGTTCAGTTAAGACTTTTTTTTTTTCCCCTCAAGAAAGTCTTATATTGTCTCCCAGGCTGGAGTACAATGGCGTGATCTCAGCTCATTGCAACCTCCGCCTCCTAAGTCAAAGCAATTCTTCTGCCTCAGCCTCCCAAGTAGGAGGGGTTACAGGCACCCACCACCAAGCCCAGCTAATTTTTATTTTATTTTTTTTTTGTTGTTTTTTGTTTTGAGACGGACTTTCGCTCTTGTTACCCAGGCTGGAGTGCAATGGCACAATCTCGGCTCACTGCAACCTCCACCTCCTGGGTTCAAGCAATTCTCCTGCCTCAGCCTCCCAAGTAGCTGGGACTACAGGCACGCACCACCATGCCCAGCTAATTTTTGTATTTTTAGTAGAGACGGTATTTCACATTGTTGACTAGGATGGTCTCTATCTCTTGACCTCGTGATCCACCCACCTCGGCCTCCCAAAGTGCTGGGATTACAGGCTTGAGCCACTGGACCCTACCTATTTAATTTTTTTGTATTTTTAGCAGAGACCGGTTTTTGCCATGTTAACCAGCCTGGTCTCTGAACTCCTAACCTCAGGTCATTCATCTGCCTTGGCCTCCTAAAGTGGGATTACAGACATGAGCCATCATACCCAGCTTTTTTTTTTTTTTTTTAACAGTCTCGCTCTTTCGCTGAGGCTGGCGTCCAGTGGCACGATCTCAGCTCACTACAACCTCTAGTTCCCTGGTTCAAGCCATCCTCTCACCTCAGCCTCCTGAGTAGCTGGACTACAGGTGCACACCACCACACCTGGCTATTTTTTGTATTTTTGGTAGAGCTGGGGTTTCACCACGTTGGCCAGGCTGGTCTTGAACTCCTGGCCTCACAAACTACTGGGATTATAGGCGTGAGTTACTACACCTGGCCTAAGACTACTCTTCATTTTAGTTATTTTCAGAATGGTTGCTAACTGCTTACTGAACTCCAGAGTTAAGCCACTTACTGAGGTCACTTTCTGAACTACTTAATAGGTTTAATCTTTGATTCCTTAATACTGAGGTTAGTTCCGTCAGTGTTTTAAGTTACCTTGTAGTAGCAAGATATTATGAAATGTACCTCAATATTTGTGAAATTAAAAGAAAACAGCGACATGCTGGATATTTTCCATTTTTTTCTTGTTTTAGAACAGTGGTTGGTAATTCTCGTTTTGGAATATTTGTTTTTAAATGAGGGATGATTTGGTTGTTTCTGGAGGCATTTTTGGTTGTTACAGCTGGGGGATGCCACTGGCTTAGTGGGTAGAGGCCAGAGATGCTGCTAAACATCCTACAATGCCCTGGACAGCTCCTTGACAATGAAGAATTACTTGGTCCAATGTATCAGTGGTGCCAAGGTTGAGAAAACCTGTTTCAAACCAGTTTTACAATTTCTTTTTTTTTTTGAGATGGGGTTTTCACTCTTGTTACCCAGGCTGGAGTGCAATGGCGCGATCTCGGCTCACCGCAACCTCCGCCTCCTGGGTTCAAGCAATTCTCCCGCCTCAGCCTCCTGAGTAGCTGGGATTACAGGCACGCGCCACCATGCCCGGCTAATTTTTTGTATTTTTAGTAGAGACGGGGTTTCACTTTGTTGACCAGGGTGGTCTCCATCTCTTGACCTTGTGATCCACGCGCCTCGGCCTCCCAAAGTGCTGGGATTACAGGCTTGAGCCACCGCTCCCGGTCCAGTTTTACAATTTCATCCCACTAAAACCCATTTGGTTTCTACTAAATGCAGTAGTCCCCACTTATCCATAGGGGAGACATTCCAAGACCCCAGTGGATGCCTGCAATTGAGGATAGTACTGAACCCTACATGTCCTATATTTTTAATCTGATAACCAAGTCAGCTACTAAGTGACTAGTGGGTGGGTAGCATATACAATGCGGATATGCTGGCTGAAGGGACGTTTCATGCCCCGGGTAGGATGGTCAGAGATTTCATCATGGTACGCAACAGCATGCAATTTAAAACTTTTCAATTATTTATTTTTGGAATTTTCCATTTAATATTTTTAGACTGAGGTAACTACAATGGTGGATAAGGAGACTGCTGTAGTAAGAGTGGTGATGCCATCTAGTGGCCAATATTTGCTGCTAGGTGAGAAGGCATTTTATTTTGGTGGTTCCGACTTAAGGTAGAAATTCACCTCTTTCTGGTAATGGCGAAGGTCTTGCACATCCTTTTACTATCCAGTGCTATGAGTGACTACATTTTGATTTTATTATGTTTCAGGTGATGACAACCTATGCAACACTCCCCATTTACCTGCTTGTTCTCCACCAAAGCAAGGCAAGAAAGAAAATGGTCCCCCCCGATCACATACACGTAAGGGACGAAGATTGGTATTTGACAATCAGCTGACAATTAAGTCTCCTAGCAAAAGAGAACAAGCCAAAGTTCACCAAAACAGAATACTTCCTTCAGTTAGAAAAGGTCAAGAGATCACAACAAATCCTGAGCAGAGATGTCCACTGGAGAAAGAATCTGCACGTGTGAGACTATTCAAGCAAGAAGGTTTGTTCTTACATGGCAACTGTTAGTGCAGCTATTGTAACCAAGGCTGATGATTACAAATGAAACCACCCAGTGGGTCTTCTCAGTCACCTTCTGTTGTGTCTAATTGACCTTTTATATCTGGCACAGGCACTTGCTACCAGCAAGCAAAGCTGGTCCTGAACACAGCTGTCCCGGATCGGCTGCCTGCCAGGGAAAGGGAGATGGATGTCATCAAGAATTTCCTGAGGGAGCACATCTGTGAAAAAAAAGCTGGAAGCCTTTACCTTTCTGGTGCTCCTGGAACTGGAAAAACTGCCTGCTTAAGCCGAATTTTGCAAGACCTCAAGGTACATTAAGAGTCTGAATTATGATGCTGTTGGTAAAATGACTCTTAGGTGTTTTGATTTGTTTTTGAAACAGGGTCTCACTCTTTTGTCCAGGCTGCAGTGCAATGGCTTGATCACAGCTCACTGTAGCCTTGACCTCCTGGGCTCAGGTGATCCTCCCACCTCAGCCTCCTGGGTAGCTGGGACTACAGGCATGCATCACCACACCCAGCTAAAATTTGTAGAGACAGGGTTTCACCGTGTTGCCCAGACTTGTCCTGAACTCCTGAGCTCAAGCAGTCCACCCGCTTCAGCCTCCCAAAGTGCTGGGATTACAGGTGTGAGCCACTGTGCCCAGCTGGCACTTGATTTTTAAGAGTTAAGAAAGCGGGCTGGGCACTGTGGCTCTCACACCTGTAATCCCAGCACTTTGTGGGGGGGCGATTACCTGAGGTCAGGAGTTTGAGACAAGCCTGGCCAACATGGTGAAACCTGCTCTCTGCTAAAAATACAAAAATTAGCTGGGTATGTGGTGCATCCTGGTAACCCTAGCTACTTGGGAAGCTGAGGCAGGAGAATTGCTTGAACCCAGAGGCAGAGGTTACAGCGAGCTGAGATTGTGCTGCTGCACTCCAGCCTGGGCAACAGAGCAAGACTCTGTCTTTAATAAAAAGACGAAGATTAGAAGATTGATGGTCTCCTCAAATAAGACATTTATAATTTCATTGTTTAAATCTTTCCAAATGAAAGTAGAGCTTCCTTACATGCTTTTAGCTCTTCAAAGACGTTTTAGGCTCTATCAGATCTTTTATTTTCTGAGGCAAAAATAACTGATGTTTGCATTTTGTATTTCTAGAAGGAACTGAAAGGCTTTAAAACTATCATGCTGAATTGCATGTCCTTGAGGAGTGCCCAGGCTGTATTCCCAGCTATTGCTCAGGAGATTTGTCAGGAAGAGGTATCCAGGCCAGCTGGGAAGGACATGATGAGGAAATTGGAAAAACATATGACTGCAGAGAAGGGCCCCATGATGTAAGTATTGTTCTGCTTCATGTTGTTCTGTAAAAATCTGCAAGGTCTGTTGCCCATAAAAAGAACATTTTGTATATTTGTTCTATGAAGGATAGTTACATAAACTTAAAGGGAAAGAAGAGAGGGAAGATACACCTAATTTTAAATTGGATTACTTGTAGATGATGTGGGGTATCCTTGTAGCAGTAACTAGAGATAGGATAGATTATGATCCTTAAACTGGACTCAGCTTTAGGAAAGTGACCTGAAGTCAGCCTGTATCAGACAGATTGGAGGGTTAAGAAGGTGAATATGGGCCAGGCGAGGTGGCTCATGCCTATAATCCCAGCACTTTGGGAGGCCGAGGCGGGTGGATCACGAGGTCAAGAGATCGAGACCATCCTGGTCAACAAGGTGAAACCCCGTCTCTACTAAAAATACAAAAAATTAGCTGGGCATGGTGGCGCGCGCCTGTAATCCCAGCTACTCGGGAGGCTGAGGCAGGAGAATTGCTTGAACCCAGAAGGCGGAGGTTGCGGTGAGCCGAGATCACGCCATTGCACTCCAGTCTGGGTAACAAGAGCGAAACTCCGTCTCGAAAAAAAAAAAGAAGGTGAATATGGATACTAACTGTTTCTCTCTATATGCAGTGTGTTGGTACTGGACGAGATGGACCAACTGGACAGCAAAGGCCAGGATGTATTGTACACACTGTTTGAATGGCCATGGCTAAGCAATTCTCACTTGGTGCTGATTGGTTAGTGCTCAATTGTTAAAAATGTTACATAGTGGTTCTAAAGTATTCTTTTTTAAAAATATATATATTCAGCTTATTTATCAGTGATTTTATCTTAAACCAGCTTTCTGCCTCATCAAACTAAGAAAGTTAAATGACTGTACATCTTACCTAGCAGATACATCTTATCTATTGGGATGGGGTAGGACACCAGTGGGATGCAACAATTAACATGCTAGATTCTGTAACTGGAAATTTATTTAGCTTTCAGAGAATTTAGTTTCCCCTTTAGGATGATTTGACCAATGGTTAGTGTTGTTGATCTCCTCCTTAGGCATTGCTAATACCCTGGATCTCACAGATAGAATTCTGCCTAGGCTTCAAGCTAGAGAAAAATGTAAGCCACAGCTATTGAACTTCCCACCTTATACCAAAAATCAGATAGTCACTATTTTGCAAGATCGACTTAATCAGGTAAGTACCAACTATTTTGCCAAATTATGTGTTCCTTGGATTCACCTGTGCTAGGAAAATTTAACAATAGTTCTAAAATATTGTTGCTTTGATTGCTTTATTAATGGAGCAAAGAGTTCCTGTGGACCATAGTGATAATACTTTTATGTGAATTTCCACTTTATTCATTTACTGGGTGTCTTAGTGTTGAAATAAAAGCAAGAGTGAGAGGAATCACTCAAGTGCTTTCTCTTTTTTTTTTTTTCCCCTTGAGACAGAGTTTTGCTCTTGTTACCCAGGCTGGAGTGCAATGGGGTGATCTCGGCTCGCTGAAACCTCCGCCTCCTGGATTCAAGCAATTCTCCTGCCTCGGCCTCCCAAGTAGCTGGGATTACAGGTGCCTGCCACCATGCCCAGCTAATTTTTGTATTTTTAATAGAGACGGGATTTCACCATGTTGGCCAGGCTGGTCTCGAACTCCTGTCCTCAGGTGATCTGTCCACCTTGGCTTCCCAAAGTACTGGGATTACAGGTGTGAGGCACTGCACTGGGCCTCAAGTGCTTAATTTTTTATTTTATTTATTTGTTTTTAATAGAGACGGGATTTTGCCATGTTGGTCAGGCTGGTCTCAAACTCCTGACCTCAAGTGATCCACCCGCCTTGGCCTCCCAAAGTGCTGGGATTTACAGGCGTGAGCCACCGTACCTGGTCTTCAAGTGCTTTCTTTAATGACCTTTAAAAAATAGTGCCTATGAAAAAACTTTTTCTTTTGAAAATGACTAAATAGATTTTTTTTATTTTTGCTGATTTCAGCTCTGATTGCTTTTTTTCCATTTATGAACCTCTACCATATCCCTACAAAATGCTTAAATGTGTGAAAACTCTCAAACATCTCCATTATTTATGAAGAAAAGGCATCTTTTTGACCCTAAAGAGTTGCCAATCAAGTTTAGGGTTAAATGTGAAAATATTTATGCTTGGGACCTAAATTACAGAGGGAGAATCTTACAGTTCAAACTGTCATCTTCTATGTCATGTCTGAAGGTATCTAGAGATCAGGTTCTGGACAATGCTGCAATTCAATTCTGTGCCCGCAAAGTCTCTGCTGTTTCAGGAGATGTTCGCAAAGCGCTAGATGTTTGCAGGTGAGTTATGACACTGTTGGCTGCTTTTATTAAAAAAAAAAAGAAATGCTGTTAATTGTCTCATGTAACTCAAGTGAATGTGGCTTAAGAGGCTCAGTTCTGCTACTTTTTTACGCTCAGAAAGGAGGACTTGTTTCTCAGTGGGGAGCTGTGGATTTCTACCGTGTTAATGTCTGAAACATTATCAGTCCATTACCTACAGAGGGAGAAACAAATGAGATGTTGCTGGCACTCCCTGTGGTGATTATAGATTGGTTAATTACATTTGTATTAAAAAAGACTCCAGTTTACTTTTCCATTAGCTGATCTCAAGCAGGTTTATTTATGGACCTGAACCATCTTTGCCTTTAGACTTTTTTCTCCTCCTTTCCTTTTGTGAGCACCCCTTCTTCCCTCCAGTTGGTGGTCCCCTAGAGTTGTACTCTAGACTTCTTTCTCCGTTCCCATCCCCCTGTCCCTCCTGCTGGGGAAAGCCTCTGTGCTGACTGATGAAATTTCTTCCTTCCCAGTAGGGACACTGGGTCCATTAAAATGATACTTGCTGTGCTGGCCTGCTGGTCCAACCTCCCCCTATTGCCATGCAGAAGATCCAGGTCTGGCTTATGGCTTCCTGTGGGCAAAGTACTTTAGAGAGAGCAGTGGGAGAGTCAGCTCTTCCTGTTGCTAGATTGCATGATCCTGAATTTAAAAGTTTCCTCTAATCAGCAAACTACTTGGGTAAAGACTACAACTATGAGCAATAGTTATGTAGGCTAGCGTGGTTTAGCCTACACATATCCTATGTATATATAACGGAAGATATCCCTTTTAGATTTTGTGTGTATGGGTGGTGTTGGCTCCCTTTAGTCAGTCACCCACACTACATATCCTCTCCTACCGTGACATTTTCTCCTCACCCAAAATGTTATTATTGGCTTAATGTACAATGACCTACTTGGCATCTATTAGGAGGAAACCACGGAAGTTTCTCAAATCTGACATCCATGAATTATTTCAAAGCAATTAAGTCCCCTTATTTGAGAAATAACCCAGTTTTATTTGGGGCTTTAAAATTACAAAACATCGTAATTTTAAAGTTATACATAGGATGTATGTAGGCTAAACCATGTTAGCCTACATAACTTGCTCATAGTTGCAGTCTTTGAGCAATAGTCATTAATGTGCCTGCTTTTGAGCTTGGTGGTTTGGTATGGTGTTTGGTTTGGCTTAGACTAAATTAATTTTAGAAATTTTTTTTATAGGAGAGCTGTTGAAATTGTAGAGTCAGATGTCAAAAGCCAGACTATTCTCAACCACTGTCTGAATGTAAGTAGTTATCTCCTTCCTGTCTTCCTTTGTAATTGGAAGCTTAGCTTTTGAGGAAAGAGGTAGAAAGATGAAATGAACATAGTTAAATCCAAACTCACCCATTTTTATGTGTGTCTGTGTTTTTAGTCAGTTTCATCTATTTTATTTCAGTCTTGCCTGCCAGTACTTAATGCATTACTGGAAATGAGTTCCCAGGGTATTGCGTAAATGGCTAGGACAGAGTGAGGTTTTTTTTTTTGAGACGGAGTTTCGCTCTTGTTACCCAGGCTGGAGTGCAATGGCGCGATCTCAGCTCACTGCAACCTCCGCCTCCTGGGTTCAAGCAATTCTCCTGCCTCAGCCTCCCGAGTAGCTGGGATTACAGGCACACGCCACCATGCCCAGCTAATTTCTGCATTTTTAGTAGAGACGGGGTTTCACTATGTTGACCAGGATGGTCTCGATCTTTTGACCTTGTGATCCACCCGCCTCGGCCTCCCAAAGTGCTGGGATTACAGGCGTGAGCCACCGTGCCCGGCCGACAGAGTGAGTTTTCTTTTGACGCTCCAGAAATGAAAATTGTAGACAATGAGGTTGGATCAGCTCTCTGGGTGCTTATGTTAAGTGCACTTTAGGTTTCAATATAGGTGAAAGCAAAGCCTGATAAATAATGGAGAATTAGGTAAAAGAACTGTGAGGCCCCATGCAGTGGTTCACACCTGTAATTCCAGGACTTTGGGAGGCCAAGGCGGGAGGCTCGCTTGAGCCCAGGATTGTGAGACCAGCCTGGGCAATGTAGTGAGGCCTCTTTTCTACCAAAAAAAAAAAAAAAAAATTGGCCGGGCGCGGTGGCTCAAGCTATAATCCCAGCACTTTGGGAGGCCGAGGGGGTGGATCATGAGGTCAAGAGATCGAGACCATCCTGGTCAACAAGGTGAAACCCCGTCTCTACTAAAAATATAAAAATTAGCTGGGCATGGTGGCGTGCGCCTGTAGTCCCAGCTACTTGGGAGGCTGAGGCAGGAGAATTGCTTGAACCCAGGAGGCGGAGGTTGCGATGAGCCAAGATCGCACCATTGCACTCCAGCCTGGGTAACAAGAGTAAAACTGTGTCTCAAAAAAAAAAAAAAATTTTTTTTTTTAAATTTTGCAGCCATAAGAAATGAGTTGGCTGAGTATGGTGGCTCATGCCTGTAATCCTAGCACTTGAAGGCTGAGGAGGGCAGATCAGTTTAGACCATCCTGGCCAACATAGATAAACCCTGTCTCAAAAAACATACCTGGGCATGGTGTCCTGCACCTGTAATCTCAGCTGCTCAGGAGGCTGAGGCAGGAGAATTGCTTGAACCCAGGAGGCAGAGGTTGCAGTGAGCTGAGATCGTGCCACTGCACTCCATTCTGGGTGACAGAGCGAGACTGTGTCTCAAAGGAAAAAAAAGTGAGTTCGTTTCCTTTGTAGGGACATGAATGAAGCTGGAAACAATCATTCTCAGCAAACTAACACAGGAACAAAACCAAACACTGCACGTTCTCACTCGTAAGTGGGTGTTGAACAATGAGAACACATGAACACAGGGAGGGGAACATCACACACTGGGGCCTGCTGGGGGTGGGGCCCAAAGGAAGGGAGAACATGCAGGACTTAAAAACCTAGATGATGGATTGATGAGTGCAGCAAGCCATCATGGCACACATATGCCTATGTTACAAACCTTCGTGTTCTGCACATGTATCCCAGGGCTTACAGTAAAAAAATTAATTAGCCAAGCATGGTGTGCACCTGTAGTCATAACTACTTGGGAGGTTGAGACAGAAGAATCACTTGAGCTGGGGAGGCGGAGTTTGCAATGAGCTGAGATCGTGCCACTGTCCTCCCAGCCTGGGCAACAGAGTGAGAGTCTGTCTCAAAAAACAATAATTTTAGAAGAATAAGAATTTTTTTTTTTTTTAATTGCATTTTAGGTTTTGGGGTACATGTGCAGAGCATGCAATACAGTTGCATAGGTACACACAGGGCAGTGTGTTTTGTTTGCTTTCTCCCCTTCACCCACATTTGGTATTTCTCCCCTGGCAATCCCTCCCCAAGAATAAGAATTATAAGTTCAACTTGGGATATCTCAAGCATTTATTATTTATTTATTTCAAGCATTTAAACAAGTCTAGAGGGTAGAGGTAAAAAGATCATATTGCCGGCCGAGGCGGGTGGATCACGAGGTCAAGAGATGAGACCATCCTGGTCAACGAGGTGAAACCCTGTCTCTACTAAAAATAGAAAAATTAGCCAGGCATGGTGGCGCGTGCCTGTAATCCCAGCTACTTGGGAGGATGAGGCAGGAGAATTGCTTGAACCCAGAAGGCGGAGGTTTCGGTGAGCTCAGATCGTGCCATTGCACACCAGTCTGGGTAACAACAGCAAAACTCCGTCTCAACAACAAAAAAAAAGATTATATTGCTACAGTAAGTTGCACACTATCACAAATGACAAAATTAATTTTCCATTCCCTCAGCCTTGTTGTTTTGGTTGTGGCAAATGTAAATGGCCATGAACTACGTATCTTACAGTATTTGATATCCAGTGGTAGTCTTTATAAACAGAATAGTAAGATTTGATTGTTTCTTTTTGACTCCTACACTGGTTGGGAGTTAGTAAAATTGTTTCTGGCATTATAGTTTTTCATGGAGTTCTTTTTTTCATCAATTTGCTAACATAAAAAAATTAAAAATAATTTCAGATGTAGCCAAAATTAGTGCTTAGGGTAATAGTAGGCAATATATGCCAATGTATAGACTTAGATACTGGTTTCTTCGTCCTCTTTAATTTTTCAGATCATTCCCTTTTCCCTTGCTTTTTCCCCACCAGTAACATTTAGGCTTGTCACTGGCCCCTGTGAGCATCACTAGCACAAACATAACTAAAAAAGGTAAAGAGGTTGTAAATTCTATCTTTTGATTTCTGGATTGTGTGTGATTGGCTTTTTTCTTTTGGTGTGAGACAAGGTCTTGCACTGTCTCTCACGCTGGAGTCCAGTGATGCGATTATGGCTGGTGTGATTATGGCTCACTGCAGTTGCAACCTCCCAGGCCCAAGCAATCCTCTTCTCACCTCAGCCTCCCCAGTTCCAGCTATTGCTAATTTTAAAATTTTTGTAGAGTCATTGAGTGGAGGAGTCTCCTTATGTTGCCCAGGCTGGTCTCAAACTCCTGGGATGAAGTGATTCTCCCGCCTTGGTCTCCTACAGCATTGGAACTACAGGCATGAGCCACCACACCAGGTTTTGGCTTTTAATTGTTCCAGAAAGCTATAGGAAGATTGACTTCAACTAAATATAAGAAGAAAATTTCTAATAACTAGAACTAACTGGGCTTCCTTGAAACATAGTGGGTTCTCCAGCATTGAAGATATTCAGACAAAAGCCAGATAGATGCCACTTGTTGAGATTGTTTTAGAGAGGACTCAGCCACTGGGTAGAGAGTAAAAATAGACTTCGAAATTCCTTTGAGCTTTAAGATTATCTTACTTGATCTGTGATCTCTGGTTTCTGCATTAGTCCTCTGCAGCATCCCTCTGTGGTAATGAAACATTATAGAAGTAAATTGTTATGGGGCAACTGCAAGTGATTCAGGGAGTAGCTTCAGGCAAAAGTTGTTACAGAGCACATCTCTCTGTCTTGCAATTCATGTATCTCCAAACAATGAGACCATAGTGTTTTTTTTTTTGAGACAGGGTCTCACTCTGTCACCCAGGCTGCAGTGCAGTGGTGTGATCTCATCTCAGTGAAACCTCCTCCTCCCAGGCTCAAGCCATCCTCCCACCCCAGCCTCCTGAGTAGCTGGGACCACAGGCGTGTATCACCATGCCCTGCAATTTTTTTGTATTTTTAGTAGAGGTGGGGTTTCGCCTTGTCACCCAGGCTGGTCATGAATTCCTGAGCTCAAGCCATTCGTTATTTTTCCTGATCCTCTCCCTCCTCCCACCCTCCACTGTTATATAGGCCCCAGTGTGTGTTGTCCCCTCTAGGTGTCCATGTGTTCTCATCATTTAGTTGCCACTTAGAAGTGAGAACATGCGGTATTTGGTTTTCTGTTCCTACAGTAGTTTGCTAAGGATATAGTCTTATGCAGCTTATTGGCAGTTTCCCAACTCCTGGCTTTTATTAAGATGATGATATCTGGCTAGTCATGGTGGCTCACTCCCATAATCCCAGTGCTTTGAGAGGCCAAGGAGGGCAGATTGCTTGACCTTAAGAGTTCGAGACCAGCGTTGGCAACATGATGAAACCCCATCTCTACAAAAATTACCAAAAAAAAGATGGTGCTATCTACTAGCATACCCAGTGACATTTTCTCAAATGTTGGCTGTATTGCTGATCAGCTTGGGCAAGTGAACCAAACCACAAAGGTCATTTGGGAAAGCCATCTGAAGGACTGATATGGCAGTGACTTTACTCTCCACATTTAGCCACACATTTGATCCAAAATATTAGGTAATTTTCCAACTTTTTTTTCTTTTTCTTTTTCTTTTTTATTTGAGACAGAACTTTGCTCTTGTCGCCCAGGCTGGATGATCTCTGCTCACTGCAACCTCTGCCTCCCAGGTTCAAGTGATTCTCCTGTCTCAGCCTCCCGAATAGCTGGGATTACAGGTCCCTGCCACCATGCCCGGCTAATTTTTTGTATTTTTAGTAGAGATGGGATTTCACCATGTTAGGCAAGCTGATCTTGAACTCCTGACCTCAGGTGATGTGCCCACCTTGGCCTCCCAAAGTGCTGGGATTACAGGCGTGAGCCACCATGCCTGGCCTTTTTTTCCTTTCTTAATTACCAGGCACAGTCACCATCTTTGCTTCAAGGTTCTGTTCTTCTTATACCTCTTAGATACTAGGAACTAGCCTGCTGTGGTGGCATGCGCCTGTAGTTCTAGCTACTCAGGAGTCTGAGGCAGGAGGATCACTTGAGCCCAGGAAGTCAAGGCAGCAGTGAGCCATGCTAGTGCCACTGCACTGCAGCCTGAGCAACAGAGATCTTGTTCCCCACCCCTCTAAAAAAAGGAATACAGTAGTTCTCTGTCTGGTCCTTTCATGAGGTAGGTTTTGTCCCTCTGACATTAAATTACATTCCATAGGACAAAATAGCTCACTATTTTGCCCAGAGAAAAGGTAACCCTAATTTTCAAGTCATCCACATTATTTTGACATTTTTAAGAGAATAGCATTATCTCTTATCCTTTGGCCTCTGATTAGAGAGTTTGAACTTTTGCTTGCCACCATGTGACTACTTGAAATTCCTTTAGCTCAAACTTTAGTATCATTTGTTTCATCATGCATACACACACACAATATTTTAGAAATTGAATTAAACTTGACTGACTTACTTTATAGGTAAATCACCTTCTGAGCCTTTGATTCCCAAGAAGGTTGGTCTTATTCATATATCCCAAGTCATTTCAGAAGTTGATGGTAACAGGATGACCTTGAGCCAAGAAGGAGTATACGATTCCTTTCCTCTTCAGCAGAAGATCTTGGTCTGCTCTTTGATGCTCTTGATCAGGCAGTTGAAAATCAAAGAGGTCACTCTGGGGAAGGTAAGTTGGGATGGAGCAGATGGAGCAGAGGTAGAGATGAGAAGCTGCTTTGCAGAGCAGATATTTTCCAAAAGGCCTATGATACTTCAGCTGATAGGAATTTAAAATGGATTTTAACAGTAAGAATTAATACTGGTAATGGCCGGGTACGGTGACTCATGCCTATAATCCTAGCACTTTGGGAGGCCGAGGAGGGTGGATTACCTGAGCTCAGGAGTTTGAGACCGCCTGGGGAACACGGTGAAACCCTTCTGTCTAAAAATACAAAAAATTAGCCGGGCATGGTGGTGTGCGCCTGTAATCCCAACTACTAGGGAAGCTGAGACAGGAAAATTGCTTGAACCCAGGAGATGAAGGTTGCAGTGAGCTGATATCGCGCCATTGCACTCCAGCCTGGGTGACAGTGGAAGACTCCGTCTAAAAATAAAAAAATTAATACTGGTGCTATATAAAAGTCACCTATTTCCCTTGGGTTGTGGTTGAGAGTTTACCATTAATCTTTCCCCATGCTCTCCTTCATTTCTGCATCTCTCTGTGAAATATATAAATCCCCTTTCCTACATTACTATATAGGCTTTTGGGAATATCTACAGAATGACTGTTTAAGGATTTTATTGAAAAGAGGAAGAAATAGGGTATTCAGATAAATTTTTTGCTAACTCAGACTCACGTTTCTTAAATGATTAAAGGCTATAAGCAATGTGACTTTTAAGCAGCATTTGTTCTCCCTTGTTCTCTCAGTTATATGAAGCCTATAGTAAAGTCTGTCGCAAACAGCAGGTGGCGGCTGTGGACCAGTCAGAGTGTTTGTCACTTTCAGGGCTCTTGGAGGCCAGGGGCATTTTAGGATTAAAGAAAAACAAGGAAACCCGCTTGACAAAGGTACAACTGCTTTTTTGTGACAGTGTTTTTAATTGTCCTATTTTGTAGAGTGAAGTTAAAGTAAAGGTTTACTGTTATACAAGATGACCACAGTTAAACAAGTCATTTTTTGTTAGCTAAGGTTTAAGGTGTTTAAAAATGGGAGTGTGGTATGAATATTTTTTCAGGCTATTGGAAAAAAAAGTGTTTAACTTTCTTGCCTCTTGTGAGAAAAGTTTAATATGGTAGAAGTTTCTGTACTTATAACTTTGTTTTGTGAGTTCTCCAGCATGAAAAATCCTTTTCTCTTTTTTCCAGGTGTCTTTCAAGATTGAAGAGAAGGAAATAGAGCATGCTCTGAAAGATAAAGCTTTAACTGGAAATATCTTAGCTACTGGATTGCCTTAAATTCTTCTCTTACACCTCACCTGAAAGTATTTATCTGGCATTTAGAGAGCTACAGTCTTCATTTTAGTGCTTTACACATTCAGGTCTGAAAACAAATATGACCTTTTTTACTTGAAACCAATGGATTTTAATCTATAGATTCTTTATTATTAGCACAGAATAATATCTTTGAGTCTTATTATTTTTACCTATAAAAGTGATCAGGTAGATCCTTTTTAATTACATTCACTACTTCTACCACTGTGTATCTCTAGCCAATGTGCTTATAAGTGTACAGATCTGAAATGTGTCTATATTTACCACTTTGCTTGCTCAAACATGAGTGTTTTTGTTTTTGTTTTTGTTTTTTGAGACCGAGTCTCGCCCCGTTTTCCAGGCTGGAACACAGTGGCGTGATCTTGGCTCACTGCAGCGTTCACTTCCTGAGATCAAGCGATTCTCTTGCCTCAGCCTCCCAAGTAGCTGGGATTACAGGTGGGCACCACCACACCCAACTAATTTTTGTATTTTTAGTAGAGATGGGGTTTTACCATGTTGGCCAGGCTGGTCTTAAACTCCTGACCCTCAAGTGATCTGTCCACCTTGGCCTCCCAGAGTGCTAGGATTACAGGTGTAAACCACCGCCCCCAGCCATGAGTGTATTTTGTTCAGAACTTTGAGGTTAGGGTAAGAAGAATGTAAAAGAATGATCCAGGAAAGTTAAGCAAGTCCACGTGGAGATTTGGAGGATACTGGTTAAAGAATTTATTTATTTTTAGAGTATACTATGTTCACAGTGCAGATACTACAACATTGTGACATTTTAAAGGCTTTGAGCTTCTTGGGCACCTCCAGGGGCACTGGGGTTGTAAGGAGACTATAACTACAGATTGTGAATATATTTATTTTCAAGTTGTGTTCTTTGTCTTTTTAAGCAATTAGATTTCAAGAGCGCTCATGCTTTCAGAAGTAAATGAAAATTTCTTCCTAGACTGTCCCACAGTCTTTGCAATCCTTATATGAAACCACTTCTTTCAAGATGCCTTAGTTTGGGGTTGGGTTTTCATCTAAACACATTTTTTCCAGTCTTAGATAAATTAGTCCATATGGTTGGTTAATCAAGAGTCTTCTGGATTTGGTTTGGTGCCATTAAATGGTAATTTGTGACTGAGACACCAGAGGGCACCATTATAACATTGACTACTTTGAAAGTAGATGCTTGGGGCTGAGTTAGTTTTGGGGTAAAGGGAGAAGTTCTCATTTGATTTGTTTGGGAGATTGCTCTACTTTTATAACTTAAGCAAATGCTTGAAATGTAAACCACGTATGATATGAATGATCTGAGAGCCAGTGACCCTGAGCTCTCCTGCTGCTGCCTATACCTTTCTGACATGGCCTTCCATCTGGGAATTTGATACATGTACAAATGATCTGTTGGCCACTGTTTCATTCATCCTGCCCACTGTATCCTTGTAATGTGATCTGAGCTCCAACAGGTGGTATGGTATAGAGGCAGGGAAAGCAGAGAGAGCTCTCTGAAATGAACACTATCCACTGGTGTGTGTAGCACAAGATAGTCTGTAGGCATGAGTCTGAATGTGGTTCTCACCCTCACACTTGTTTACTAGAGCATTCATTCCCTCTGAAGGTAATTTGCACATGGGAAACAGTTCTATACCTAGAAGGTTGGAAAGTGTTTGGAACTATAAGGGTTAACAGTCATAATTGCAAAGATTGTCCGAAGGCTGATGGAAAGCAGAGACTGAATGGGATTGAGAACAGATGCGAAGCTTGATTTAAATTACATTTTATTGGATGCTGCAGCCTTAAGAGACGTGACTGCTTTACAGTTTGTTTCCACACTGTGGGCAGCTGCTGTCTGTTCTGTGTCCACAGTAGGATCTTGCCCAATAAGGAGCAGCCTCCCCACCTTGTTGTGTTTGAGGCTTGGCGCCTTCCTCTTAACTGTAGGGCTTGAATCAGGAACATGGCTTGACTCACAGTGGGGCTGCTATGTATCCTCCCTGGCTTCCAGCCAAAATCACATTGGTAGAATAAAAGGGGCCAAATTTCTTTCCCCTCTACCCTTTCTCTCCCTTTCTCCTGGTATTTGGAAATAGGGTTTTCTGTTTACTGATTTGTTGGTTTCCTTTTCTTTATTTCTCCCCCCACTGTCAATTTCTAGGTCATTGCTGCTCTTAAGACTTTAGCAATTGGAACAGGGCTGGTTCTGTCAATGATGCGTGAAGCAGACTTCATGTCCCTGCTTGGCTTCCGCTGCCCTTGTGGGAGCAAAAGCTGATATATATTTGTCAGTAAAGTCTTAAGTGTAATTCAGACCTCTGAGGAAGAAAGCTCTTTCCTTGCTGGCTTTTCTCACTGAAGCTGAGAGCTACAGGAAGGTGGTAGGAGTTTTAGTGGAATGGGATGGGCTTGTGGTTAGCACTTTTTGCCAGGATCATGGGCTGCTTCACTTAGAGTAGTGGCAAAGATGCTGACCTACATTCTTCCTTTTGAAGGTGGTGGAGTGTGTGCTATATCCTGGTTAATCTCTTCCCCCACCCTAAGGAAGCTGATTAAGCGTCCATAGACTGTTGGGTATTGCCATAGAAAGAGCATAGACAAAATAAATTGATGTGTGTTTCAACTCCAGAGCTGCCATAGACATTTCTGGCTCAATGAAGACTTGCCTGTGGCTAACTAACTGTAAGAATGTGTGAGGTCCAGTCTGGGTGCGGTGGCTCACGCCTGTAATCCCAGCACTTTGGGAGACCGAGGCAGGCGGATCACCTGAGGTCGGGAGTTCGAGACCAGCCTAGCCAACATGGCAAAACCTTGTCTCTACTAAAATAATTAGCCAGGCATGGTAGCATGCACCTGTAATCCTGGCTACTGGGAGGCTGAGGCAGGAAAATCACTTGAGCCTCAGAGGCGGAAGTTGCTGTGAGCTGAGATCGCGCCATTGCACTACAGCCTGAGCGACAGAGTAAGACTTGTCTCAAAAAATATATATACATATAGGCCAGGTGCCATAGCTCATACCTGTAATCCCAGCACTTCGGGGGGGCCAAGGCGGGCGGATCACTTGAGGGCTGGGAGTTCAAGACCAGCCTGGGCAACACGGCAAAATACCATCTCTACTAAAAGTACAAAAATTTGCTGGGTGCCGTGGTACATGCCATAATCACAGCTACTCTGGAGGCTGGGGCAGGAGAACTGCTTGAGCCTGGGAGGTGAAGTTTGCAGTGAGACAAGATCATGGCACCATACTCCAGCCTGGGTGAGAGTGAGCCTCTGTCTCAAAAAAGCAAAATGTGTGAGGTCCAAGCTACCCAGAGATTAAAAAATTGGCAGAGCCGGGCCGGGCGCAGTGGCTCACGCCTGTAATCCCAGCACTTTGGGAGGCCAAGGCGGGTGGATCACGAGGTCAAGAGATCGAGACCATCCCGGTCAACATGGTGAAACCCCGTCTCTACTAAAAATACAAAAAATTAGCTGAGCATGGTGGCGCCTGCCTGTAATCTCAGCTACTCGGGAGGCTGAGGCAGGAGAATTGCCTGAACCCAGGAGGCGGAGGTTGTGGTGAGCCGAGATCATGCCATTACACTCCAACCTGGGTAATGAGAGTGAAACTCCGTCTCAAAAAAAAAAATTGGCAGAGCCTTATTCTCTCTGTGCCCCCCACTACCACCAAGTCACATTGCTCCTTACCTTTATTAAGTGTCCCTTTGAATATACATCAAGCTAGGTGTGGTGGCTCATGCCTGTAATGCCAACACTTTGGGAGGAGGTGACAGCAGGAGGATTATTTGAAGTCAGGAGTTTGAGACCAGCTTGGGCAACATAGTGAGAACCTTTCCCCTGGCTTCTCTACCAAAGAAAATCTTAAAAGTAGGGCATAGTGGTATGCACCTGTAGTCCTAGCTACTCAGGAAGCTGATGTGGGAGGATGCTTTGAGCCCAGGAGTTCAACTCAGCATGGGCTATAATCATACCACTGCATTACAGCCTGGGTGACAGCGAGACCCTGTCTCTAAAAAGAAAAAACAGACACCAATAAGAATGAGAAGGTGGGAATAATATGTGATGTAGGTTATATTTTTTTTAAAAAAATATTGAGAGGTGTTACCTTGACTGCTGAGGGAGAACAAAAGAGCCAATACTTAAATTTTATTTACATTTGTATCTGTCCCTAGCAATTAGTATAGTGCCTGATACCTGGTATGTACTCAATAGTTGTTGAACAGATAAATGAACCAAGTAAGGTGGTGAGGACAGTTCTAAGCTGAAGTTAAATGTTGGTTCTTGGCCCGGTGCGGTGGCTCAAGCCTGTAATCCCAGCACTTTGGGAGGTCGAGGCGGGTGGATCACGAGGTCAAGAGATCAAGACCATCCTGGTCAACATGGTGAAACCCCGTCTCTACTAAAAATACAAAATAGCTGGGCATGGTGGCACGTGCCTGTAATCCCAGCTACTCAGGAGGCTGAGGCAGGAGAATTGCCTGAACCCAGGAGGCGGAGGTTGCACTCCAGCCTGGGTAACAAGAGCGAAACTCCGTCTCAAAAAAAAAAAAGTTGGTTCTTTTGCACAGAGGTGGAGCACACCCCCACATAAGAAGGGTGCTGTGTCTTATAAAATGTGTTTTGGCAGTTTTGGAGCATTTGTTAGCCTCACAGATGCATTCCAATTGTTCCCTCTGATGTGTCATTTTGCTTGAGACACCTTCCGTGTTGCTGGTGGGACGCTTTGGCTATGAGGGGGGAGTCTTATCGACAGGCTGCTTGTCTGGATGTTACTCCGTGTGGCTAGATCAGTCAGAAGCTGGGTCTCTAGGCAAGGGTTTAGGGAGGAGCCCACCTTTGATGTCCTACTTTTTAACTTAGGGAAAGTTGTGATCTCAGGGTCCTGAAAAGATAAGGTACCTTCTTTTAAGGTACAGTGTAGTTCTTCCTCTTAGAATAGGTGTGTTCTGTAAGGGGAGAAGGTGTGCCCTCTGGCCTCCCCTTGATTTTCAGCCCCAGCCCCAAGGCACTGGCAGTGGAAGTTAATTGGGTGCAAGGGGCTTGGGTAAAGGCTGAAGACTGGCGAAAGGAGAGAGCCAGCTTCGTTTTTTAAAAAGCTCTAATTGAGTTCTGAATCAGCCTCACTCCCTTTGATCCCTCCTCTGTTTCCCACACTGCCTGAAAGAGCTAGATCAGCACTTTATAACAAGGGTGCGCCTGCTCCCCACACCGCCCCCCTCTCCTGACGCTCTCTGCTGCCGCCATCCACTGCTTGTCTCCTTCAGTTAAGATAATGAAGATGCTGAGAGATAAAATGTGTATTTAATAAGGGTGGGGGTAGGGAGGCAGAAAGGGGCAACCAGGGCCTTCCCTAGTTTGGGGCCTCGCCAAGACTTAAGCTGAAAGCAAAGCTAGAATAAGACTTGGCCCCAGGGTGTGGGGGTTTCTGGGCCTCAATCCAGCTGACTTCACTGCCTGCTGTTTGCCCTAAATTCCCCCACCTCCACCCTCTCAACCCCACACTGCTTTCTTCTTGCTCCCAATGGGAAAAAGGACTCTTGCTTCGGCTTTCTTTTCAGCTGGTAACTTGGCCTTTAGTGCGGTGCCCCCCACCCCAGTGTCAGCTGCAAGGTCGAGCTAGGGCAGCCCCCTCTAGCCTAGGCCTGTAGAAGCTGTGGGTTCACAGTGGGGGGTGAAAAAGCTGGAGTTAATGAAGACCAGCTGCTAGTCTAGGTTCTGCCTACAGCTAGCTGGAGGCCAGCCTTTGGTGGTGGTTGATGGGGGTGGGGTGACCTCCATCCATGGGCACAAGGATATCCTGTGGCAGCAGCGAGGCTTGTGCTTCTCTGAGTTTAGTTTTATCCTTAGTTTGTAAGAGAGTAGTCTATTTCCTTCTCCCCTACTCCTCTCCCC